CGAAAAATCTCAGGCATGATCCCAGGCCGCTATTTTAATGCGTAATCACCCGAAGTAAACATGCCAGATGTTTTTAGAATCATCAAGTTAAGGAGGATGAGATGGACAGGGCATATAGCACGCATGGGAACAAGAGGAATGCATGTAGAACTTTAGTGGGAAAGCCAGAAGGAAAGAGACCACTAGGGAGACGTAGACATCGGTGGGAGTTATAGCAGGATTGGACTGGATTAATCTGGCTCAGTATAGGGACAAATGGAAGGCACTTGTGAACACGGTAATTAATTTTCGGTATTCTTAAATTGTTGGGAAACTCTTGAGTAGCTTCCAAAGGCTTCTCAAGAAGGGCTCAGCTCCATGGAGTTAGTTTATTTATTTAGATATTTATGTCGAATTTGTTAATTTGCGGGCTAAGAATTAGGGTCTGATTCCACTAGCGTTATGGCTGATCTCGGCTATTCATTTAAATGGAGCTGTTTCTACACAGCCACATGACTGATGAATGGTTCTGCAAGACGCTCCACAAACGTCAGTGGAAGAGGGGTCTAAGTTTCTGAAGTGCCACAGTGCTGTGTCAGTCACCCATTTTCTTTTCCTCTACAACAAGCGGGTTTCTGCAGTTGAGGTCAAATTGCTTTCAGGGCCAGACTGATGCAAATAGCATTACAATCTTAACTCGCGCCATGTCCAGACCGGATCCCTAACATGGCTTCCTACACAGAACATAAATCACTTAAAATATAACTTACATTCCAAGACGTGTTTCGTTGAATATTCTCCATTGTCTCGATAAGAGAATAAATGACGTTTCGGAGGCTTATTATGTCTGACATTTGAGGCAGAAGGAAAGAATACCTGCTCTGATTATTAAATATCCATACTGCAACGTTAATGAAGATGGCATATGAAAATGACATCAAGTATAACAAAACAAATGACCATCATTTTCGTTGCAATTATTAACACTTCATAAAGGACGTGGCATAACTTAGGCTGTTAGTCGCTGGGTTCCCGTGGTGACTGTCTAGGTTCGATCCGAAGTCATGTCATGTGGGATTTGAGGGGTGGGAGTGCTTCGTTCTCCCATGCCAGTTCTCATTCAATCAGCCGCTCCATATTGATCAATCATCTTATCTTCGATACTATCTAATGCTGATAACGAGAGTGTCATTAAACAGCAAACGAAAGAATCGTAATGTCACGTGATAGTGCGTGACTATTGACGGATTTTGGATTGATGACCGGATTTGTTGGTCTCTGATACAGCGTGTGACTACATTTTGCAGTTCACTATTACACACACTAGTTTCCACAGTCACGTCTTCACTGCCGTTGCTTGGTAGCGGCTTTCAACTGCTGATGTTCTCTCTCCTCTGGGTTCCGGAACTATCCCCGGCTTCAGCTACCAGCTTCTAGCAGCAACAGCTCACAAGGCCTGAACCTCAGCGGTTATCTAACTGACTGACTCCAGCAGAGTCAGTTACTTCCCGACTGGCGGTTTACCGCCAATCAGATCGTCTTGGCGCCAAGGCCCTTGAGGATCACGACCAGAGATTAGCGGTAGTGCTGTATTACCTGTAGTTCCGAGTCTTGTGTATAAGATATCAAGAAATCCAATCATCCAATCCAAACCCCGTCCAACAGTCACGACCCCTACAAGTGACAATATAAATTTTAACATATACCAGGTATAGATTAACTGTTTAACATATGACACTTATTCATTAACCCTTCAAAGCCCAGTGGTTACTATACTTACCACCTGCTTCAACAACTAAAATTCTACGTTCTCTCCAATGGGTACCGGGAGTAAAGCGTCCAGGGTTTGAATTTTGACTACTTACCTCCGACTAATGTCAGGGTCAAGAATGATGGAGTTATACCTTCATTCCCCCATTTGTCCTCATGGCACAGTGCTTAATTAATTATGCATAGGACAACTTTACCCTTTTCCTATACGGTTCTCACAATAAAAGCGATTTTGTCCCTAAAGAGCATTAACCGTTTGGTCTTCGTAACGAAGACGTAATGAGCTTCCTGTAAGGTACGGACTGAATTTGTAAATACTATTTGGAAGGAATTAAATTATTATTATTGTTAAAATTGGTCTATATGGGTGTGAAACTTGGTCTCCGACATTAAGGGAGGAACATAGACTGAGGGTGTGGTTGAGAACAGGGTGTTGAGAATATTTGGACGGAAGAGAGATGAGGTGACAGGTTGGAGAAAACTGCATAATGAGGAGCTTCATAACTTGTACTCTTCTCCAAGTATAATTAGAACGATCAAGTCAAGGAGCATGAGGTGGGCAGGTCGTGTAGCACGAACGAGGAGGAAAAGGAATTCATACAGGACATGGGTGGAAAAGTCAGAAGGAAAGAGCCCACTAGGAAAACCAAGATGTAAGTGGATGGACAATGCTAAATGGATCTTAGAGAGATAGGATGAGATGGTGTGGACTGGTTCGATCTGGCTCAGGATAGGGACCAGTGGAGGGCTTTTGTGAACACGGTAATGAACCTTCGGGTTCCAGAAAATTCTGGGCACTTCTTGAGTAGCTGCAGAATTGGCGGCTTCTCAAGAAGGGCTTAGCTCCATGAATTTATTATTATTATTATTATTATTATTATTGTTTTTATTATTCAAGCGTTTAAATCCAATTTCTTGGGGGACATTTCGACTCAAATCTGAATTTATCTAAACAAGATTTTACGTTTCACAGGAGCTTCTTGTATCTTGCGACAGTTTCGTGATTTCTTCATATCGAGCCTACTTTATTGTTTTTATGAAGGTCAAGATTATTGATTCAGAGCTCTGTCATATAAACTGGGTAAACAAATCATTCGTGTTAGATTTCGTTAAGTATTGCGTGAGTCGATATTCAATAACCAATTATTATTGTTCATATCATTATCAGCGTAGAGACAATAGCTTTGGCCCCCAAAGTGAATGGAGGAACGCTGATTTAGATTAGTGCAGGAATTTGTCGAGATAGCAAAGATAAGCAGGCGCATTTTTCTAAAATTCGCTTTGTGTGTGTGGGGGGGGGGTGGAGTCCAACTGGGTCCACTCGGCACTGCGGCCACTGATTGGCCTATTGTAGCCTGTCCCGGGTGATTATGATGATGGAGAATTTGGTGGAATGGAGATTGATAAGGGAAACCGAAGTACTCAGAGAAAACTTGCCCCAGCGCCACTTTTTTTTTTCCTTGGCACTACAGCCCCAGTGGGTCTAGGCCTACCTCCATGACCTTCTCTGTTCACTTCGGTTTTTCTAGATCTTACACATTCGGTAGGACTCCTT